TTTCCCATCTTGGCATTAATATAATTTTCTTTGAGTGACAAGCACACTTTCCAGGATTTGAAGTCTTCCCCCCAGCCCCCCAAACTCCCCCTTGATGAACGAATATAAGCGTGTATATCACTGTGCTAGAATGTGTTCTTGATACACTTCTTTGCATGAGTTTCATAAGAAGTCAGCAGGACTCAAAAGCTGATTTGTCATTTTACAGTCTTTAAGGGAAACTACTCTGCTTCATTGAATTATAAAGGCATGATAACTTTTTTCATCTCTGGTCATTGTACTTGTTGAATCTCATGATAAAAAGAAGATTGCAACTTTTACATATGTTAGCATTACAGAGGTAGAACAGTGAGCTGTACTGCATTACATTTAATCATCAGACTGTCATTTAAAGTACAAATAAATTGTTTGATACGTAGTTCTATAAATGTAGCTACATTTTCTACAGCTACAAATATATTTGGTATTGGAAATTGGTATTATCTCAGAAATAATTTTGAAAAATGCACTTTTGAACATCTTAATGTTTATACAAGAAGGAAAATTGAAGAGCCATATGTAACATTAATTTTGCTTTCTTCACTTCTCTGGGTGAACTTCAGGCCACAGTCAGATTAATAACAAAAAGTATTTTTACTGTAGTGAAATCAGAATTTCATCCTTAAATCTTCAGTGCTGGACCTAAAATTATATTTTTCATAAGATTTTTATTAGTGACTTGTAATGGATAATACAATTCTGACATATAGTGGTTATTTATGGAGTTCTTACTGGGTTTCTCTTCTAGCAATTTGAAGTGTTGAACAGGTTGGAGAATAGTCAATAGAGGAATCTAAGCACATATGCCATGAAAATATATCCATTTGCAGGTAGATATTACAAGGGGAAAATATGGAGGATATGCATGCTCATTTATTTGTGCAAGAAACCATTTTCTACTTGAGGCATCAGCCATGTAGACTTTCATTCCATTTTACAGAAAATGTGAGCTGTATAGTAGAAGTTTAGAAAATGTAGAGCTAACAATAATTATGAACTTTGATTTGAGCTCTGGGTTTATGAAGTGATACACGGGAAGATGGAGGGAGTTCAAGTAAAATAGAGGAGCCTGAGACGAAAGCAGTCACCTGGTGGCAGTATTCTGCACAGTTACATGTGAGAATTTCTTTTCATTTCCCAAGTCAAATTCTTGCATCCAGTGACAGGAGTTCTGCTGAGGCCTACGCCTTCCTTCAGCGCATGCCTTGCATGGCTCAAAGGCACATCATTCTGGGTGGCCTACGGATACGACTGAGGTGGGACCCCACAGGGAGTCTCATCCAGTCATCTTTGGCCAGAAGTGCAGTGGAATCATGCTTAGACCTCAAAAGTGGACTGAAGGTTCAAACAAGGGAGAAAGCAGCAGTGAATGTGTTAGAAAGACCTGCAACATGCAGCTCATTTTTGGAAAATGAATGTCTCGCGATGATTGTGGGAGTTCCAGGGGTGGTACAGACTCTATGGAGTTCAGGAACTGCTTTTGCAAATCTCATCTAGCCAGTTCCTCAGCAGGTTCCATGAGAGTACACAGAGAGGCAACCTCTGGTTCTTGAAAAAAACAAATAAATCTGCACAAAGTTAAAAAGATACCACTGACTAACTTAAAATAATGACGTTCAGGAACATTAAAATTTTGAGCTGATTAAAGCTGTGCCAGTAGGACACAACGTACAGAATTGGGAACTTTGAACTGGATAGATTTCATATGGTGGAAGAGAAGCATTGATTACTAATAGTAACAGTGATGGTGTGATGTAGAAAATTGCCCTCTCCTCTGGTAGATCTGGACCAACATGGTGCATTTTTCAGTATCTATAGAATTAAAACAGTTGGGTTGGGTTGGTTGTATCTGCATCCCTAATACATTATTCATACTGATTACATTTGCATATGAGTCACATTCAGTTTGAATTTGCCAGATGTCCATTTATGTTTGTTTAAATAATGAGATCATTCCATGAAGTGAACAGAATCTAAAAATATAGAGGGAAGACTGTTTAGAAAAACAAGATTTAAAATGCCTTGCTTACGTATTTTCATATCTCATGGTATATTATGCAAGCAGAAGCACAGCAATGTTGAGGCACTGTTCAAAAAACGTGTCCATTGCTAACACTTCATTAAACAATATATTACGTAACAAAGCTCCACTGGATTTGTTTCTATTTCCCAGTCAATTTCTCCATTAGTGGGAATATTTTCCTTCTGAATACATTCAAATGTACCATTTTCAGAGCCAGCATCATTTTGCTGCTTCTCTTTTCATGTTATGTGAAGATCCCAAGTCTATTCAGAGTGTTTTGTCATTTACTGTAGCATGGAAGAATTTGAAAACGTACTAATCAAGGTAAAGCTTATACATAAACTGAGCAGACAAGGGGCAATTGAACTTTTATGTTATTGAGCTTACATAAACTTTTAACAAGCAATAAACTTTTCTTATGGACAAAGGGAGACTACCAACTAATCACCCGAGTTCAACAAAGACTCCCCAAATGTGTGCTTAATTTGTTTGAAGCTTTTAAAATCTTTCTCAAACCTGAAGAAATTCCATTTTGTTCGTATTGCAGCCAATCAGTACACACATTAAACATTTACATTGGTACTTGGTGAAATAAATTTAACAGTATACAATTTGAGATTGCCGCCTTGGTAAAGAAAGTTAACAGCAGCATATCAGAACACACATCTGGCGAGCTACTTTGGTCTCTTTAGAGCAGAATCTGCAAGGAAAAGCTGCAAGGAAAGAAAATGGAGAGTTTAGCCAAAGCTCTTGGTCAAAGCTCAGTAAAGAGCTATCTAGGAGCATACATGATAGAATATACAATAAAAAGAAACCATTGAAAATCGGTTTCATGCTAAGCTGCTCCAGCTGATATGTCTACCAGAAGCATCAGAATTTGATGACATAATATGCTTAGAGAAAGAAGTTTCTCATGTTCTTTCATAAGACGTAATAGATGATTTTATGTGAATTGCAGTATATCTGCCCGTTCCCCAGAGCAATACAGGTCACAGGCACAAAAACATCTGCAAGCTTCTCCGTGCAAAATGTTCTTTATATTTTTGACCATAGAAGAGGAAGGAGGCAAGATAGCTTTCAGATCAGAAGAAATGCACCATCACAACAGTGTGTTTATGTTGTTTGTTTCATCTAGACTGTCTTTTCTAGATATAGCTTCTTTAGAGCTTAGTTTGGTGTTTCTAAGTGTTTCATTTTCTTGTTGCTGGCAGCTGTTACTTAAATATGGCAAGAACAGACTTTTCAGAGCTTTATTTGAACTAGTTCTGCTTTAATATCTGTTGTAAATCAGTGGGCTAGGTTCACATCAGGCTGTGTATGGAATAGTAAGCTCTGCTTTGGCTAAGAGATTCAAAAATTTGCACAACAGGAGGAAATTTGCTGAACGAAAAGTGCAAGCAGACGTATTACTGAAGGAGAGTTTTACGATTTGTGTGGCTTCTAGAAAATATGTGTGTGTTCTGCTTGTGACTAGATTTGACACACTCATCTCTATTCAAACCAAATGCCAAAATATTCAAACTCCCAGAACCTGATTTTGCGTGTTAGAGAAACTTAAAGAGCAGAAAAGCACAGGGTCATAAAAATGTTTCCCTTTGTGTATTCAGTCACAAGCACTGCAGCTATACCCTGAGTGCATTTTCAGAGTGCGGTGGGAAGGTATCACTAAATTTGCCTTGCATTCTGTATTAAAGTTTTTTTAAAAGTATATCTGTTATAAAACAAATTGTCCGTTCAAGTGATTGCTAGAGCAACTAACTGGACTGCTGAATGATAAGCATATATGTGCAGAGATACCATTGGATCAGATTTTTTTATTGAAAGCTATAATTAAAGCTGTGAGTGCTAAATGTATGAGGCATGAGACTTTTTTTAAAAAAATATGGCTATTTGCAGATGATTGCCACCAGCCTGCTAAACTAGTTGTAAACTAGTAAACTAGCTCTATTCTTCTGGGACCACATGGCCTCACATTAGCACATTTCTGGTGTTACAGAGTTTGAGAAGTTGCTTACAAACTCGTGCACAACAGTTTGACAGAAGTGTGGAGATGGACTTCCTCCAAATTCCATCACTTCCTTTCTCTTGAGTGGCAGAACTTTCATGTCCTATTAGCCTTGTACCACTACCTTTCAGTCTCGCCCTGTGTCGTTGTTATATGTGTTTAGATTAGTTTGTGGCTGATTGAAGGAGAGGGAAGTTGAAAACATCTCTCAATCGTGATATTATTTGTTTGGCATTTGAACTTCAAAATTAAAATGAAAGGAATTCAGCAGTGCATTTTATTTATCAATGATGTGATATTAAGCAAATTCAAATATCTTTCAGTAAACTGTGTTTTAATGTCATTAATATGACATAGCCTACCAAGTGTTGTTATTGTGTTTGTATCTTTTTTGGGGGGGAGGAAAGGACTGCTGTCTTTATAGCAAGTAAGTATATAATTCACATTGTTTGACAGCAGAGTACTCCAATAAAATGTTGCAATGAAGAAAGCAGGCAGAAAATGTTACCACTTTTCCACTGGGAACTATTTAAACATGCTGCCATTTAAATTAACAGTAGACTTTGAATTTTGGAAGATGCAGTTCTATGTAGTGTTCATTTTAAAGCAGAAGCAGTATCTTTCTTAAAAGCAACAGCTGCAATTTTAAAAGATGCTGTGGGGATTTATATAGTGTGGCAGCTAGGTGGTTTATCTTTTTCGAATTTCTTGTGTAGAATTCAACAGTTTTGTGAGGTAACTTTTAGCCTTATGTACATTTTATTTTGAAGAAACTCAAATACTTCATTAAAAAGTTGTTACTAAGTTGCACATGTGGAAATTACTTAGATTCTTTTGTTGTTGTCACATTTGGTTGTTGATTTTTTTCTGAGAAACCCTGGCATTTATTTCCAGGTTTTCTTAAAGGTTTGTGTTTTTTTTTTATTTCAACAGCTTGATCAAGTTGTCCGTCAAAGAAATCTGTATAGTTTGGAACTTTTCCTCTCATGTGCACAGAAACAGTTAAGTGTTTTGTTAAAAGAAGAGCCAACCACTACAGAGGAACAGAGAGACTGACATTCCCAGTACCGCTGATACAGTGTGATTTGTGAAGCTGAAAATCTCAATCCAGCAAAAAAGTACATTCTAAAATTGGGACTGTATCATTGATTCAAGATTGATTGGAAGATATGCTTGATTGAAGTGTTTCTGGATGATGTTCATTCATTTATTTATTTATTTATTTTACTACCCTTGTCAGATTGCAAATATGGGAAGCAAAAAATCCGTGGGAAAAAATGTGGGGTTTTTTTATTTTTCTTTCATTATATTTTCTAGTAGCCCATGATTGAAGCTGTAGGTAACTGCACCAATTATGAAAATATTTCCCTGTTATGTTGGTTTTAAATGCGGTATCATGTGCTGATGTAATTTATCAATATTTTTGATATTTTAAAAAATGGAGAAAAACATTTAATTGAATGTAGATACAAATCCGTCTCTTTTTCCAAAGTATATGCCCAAGTGCATTGCCTCAGGCGATCCTGGGGAGCTTATTTCTGCTTACTACTTTTGATGTATAACAAAAGAATCAGCACTGATATGTAAGGGAGTTGACAGGCATTTCTTTAAGTCATTTACAAACAATTTCAGCTCTAGTAATGGAAAAGTTTAAAAACTAAACAGCGACTCTTTTTAGACTAGGGCAAAGCATTGCCATAACCAATGTATAGTGTGTATTTTGTTTCTGTTTTACAAAGCTAGTTTGATTCCAAAAGTCATTTTCTCATGAAAATACGATTAATGTGACTGACCTCAGTTTCAGGAAGAAGATGTATGTAATTATGTGGAGGCTGATACTGCGCTGCCTCAGTGGAATTTCTGACAGAATAAGGAGAGCAGCTTGCTGACCTCAGATGCCCTTTCTAAACCCAGTGAAGGAAGTAGAAAAACTCCTCACTGACATTACTGGGCTTTAGATCAAGTTGTAGGTCTTTCTAGTCTTGCTAACGGCAGCGTGGAGTGCAATTTCTGTGCCTAGGCTCTGTTGATTGTAGATTTGGGGCCTTTTATAAAAGAGTTCTGAATGAAATAAGGGAAAAAAAATGTTCATGCTTAGAAATGTAAATAAACTGAGAATGATATCTCTTATGGTGAGCTTCCGATTCCTTGGGGGACTTAATGGGCATTTTTTAGTGTGGTTCTTGTTCTTCAGTGGTGGTTATGTTTTATCTTTTGGCTGGGTTTTTTTGCATCAGCAGTAATTGTTCATAAATTGCTTTTTTATAGCAATAAGGAAACAGCAAATGAAATATGTATTGCAGAGAGTTTAGGGTTTTATTTGAGTGTTTTTCTGTGCTTCATTTTTGTAATCAAAGCCAAAGGTTATGTCTCCTGTATGCAAAGGTTCACTGAAGAAGTAAATGATGTTGGTTTTACTAGATGACGGCCTCACCCTACAAATGGACAAAAATCCAGTCTTCTTTTTGATACTTCTTAATTGACTGATCAGTTTCCATTTCTTATGGCAGGCAAAAAATAGTGTTAATGAATCGCCTACTTATTTATCGTTCCTAAGCTAGTGAAATTTTTGTCTTTGTCAACTGCAGCAATTACGTAGACAATTACTCCAAAGGTGGAGTTTTTTGGAAAGTACAGGCAGTGCACAGTGAAATTGATTGTCTAGTGCTGTCTCACAATCTATGTTTAACTGTGGAAATGTAGTATGAGCAGATTCCTGGATGAAATGCAACATTCTTGTTTTTTACGTCTAGACATATACATGGAATAGTACTTCTTTTTACTAAAGACCTGAAAGTGTTCCCCATCAAAGCTAGAGCCTTAGCAGTACGTCAGCATCCTCCTACTAAAGAGTTTTGTATTCTGACTTGCAACAATATGTAGAAGCACTTGCTGGAGAAGTTTATGGTTGCTGTCAGTAAGATTTCATGGCAACCGTGGTGTATCATAGAATTCTAGAATAGTTTGGGTTGGAAGGGACCATTTAAGATCATCTGGTCCAACCCCTCTGCAATGAGCAGGGACATCTTCAACTGGATCAGGTTGCTCAGAGCCCCGTCCAACCTGACCTGCAAACTGAATATTTGCACCCATGTGGGGCACCCACCACCTCTCTGGGCAACCTGTGCCAGTGTTTCACCACCCTCATTGTAATAAATTTTGTCCTTATATCCAGTCTAAATCTACCTTCTTTTAGTTTAAAGCCGTTACCCCTTGTCCTATTGCAACAGGCCTTGCTAAAAAGATTGTCCCCATCTTTCCCCTTTAAGGCCCGCTTTAAGTACTGGAAGACTGCAATCAGGTCTCCCCGCAGCCTGCTCTTCTCCAGGCTGAACAGCCCCAACTCTCTCAGCATTTCCTCATAGGAGAGGTGCTCCAGCCCTTGGATCATTTCTGTGGCCCTCCTCTGGACCCGCTCCAACAGGTCCATGAATTTCCTGTGCTGAGGGCTCCATAGCTGGATGCAGGACTCTTGGTGGGGTCTCACAAGAATGGAGTAGAGGGGCGAAATCCCCTCTCTCAACCTGCTGGCCATGCTGCTCTGCTTTTGATGCAGCCCAGGATATGGTTGGTCTTCTGGACTGCGAGCACACATTGGTGGCTCATGTCCAGCTTTTCATCCACCAGTACCCCCAAGTCCTTCTCGGGAGGGGTAACTTGATCCTGCTGTCTAGGGCAGTGATGAAGTTATTAAACAGTGCTGGTCTCAGTATAGACCCCTGAGGGACACTACTTGTCACTGATCTCTATCTGGACATTGAGCCATTGACTACTACCCTCTGGATGCAACCATCCAGCCAATGCCACCGAATGGTCCACCCGTCATGTCAATCTACCCCCAATTTAGAGAGAAGGATGTTATGGGAGACCGTGTCAAAGGCCTTAGAGAAGTCCCAACAGATGATATCCATAACTCTTCCTTTGTCCACAGATGCAGTCACTCCATCATAGAAGGCCACTAAGTTGGTGAGGCAGGACTTGCACTTGGTGAAGCCATGCTGGCTGTCTTGAATCACCTCCTTGTCCTTCATGTACCTTAGCCTAGCTTCTAAGAGGATCAGTTCCATGATCTTCCCAGGCTCAGAAGTGAGGCTGACAGGTTGGTTGTTCTCAGGGTCCTCCTTTCTACCCTTTTTAAAATGGGGTGCAATGTTTCCCTTTTTCCAGTCACCAGGAAGATCACCTGACTGCCATGACTTTTCAGATATCATGGAGAGTGTCTTGGCAACTACATCAGCCAATTCCCTCAGGACTCTGGGATGCATCTTGTCAGGTCCCGTAGACTTATGTATGTTCGGGTGCCTCAGGTGGTCATGAACTATGGTAGGTCATGGTGTTTACATTTCGAGGGGAAGCATTGCTAGCACTCATTACAAAGACCTATAGTGATGTCCTGAAAGTGGTGAGAGTCAACTGTAGATGCTAACAACAGAAAACAAAGATCATATTGATTTTTATTGATCTTGTTCATTGTATAATGTGTATTTTAGCCTTGTTGTATCATCTTTCAGTGATACAACATTCCTGTGAAAATAATAATAATAATTATGCTGTGATAATAACAATAACCATAATTTCCTGTGATAGAAGTTGTAGCAGTATTTTATCCACCTCTTACATGCCGTGTAATTGTAACTATTTTAATATGCGTCAGAGATTCATAATTGTTTATGTTGCCTGTAATTCCTCACATTTCAGACTTACAAACCCAGCATTTTTTAAATGCTTTCCATTGTCCGGCGTGGATAATACAATACACACAGAAAGTATTATTGAATAAACACTCAGACTATTCTACTTTTTTCAGATGGCATTTTTAAACAGTTTGACAGCGAACACTAGTAAAAAAGATGAGATGTTTATTAATACACATATCCTAAAAATGCAGTTAATAACAAAATGCTATGAATTTATCTCTTTTTTTGTTTGTTCAGATTTGATAATAAATCTGTATCAAGAGAGATAGTTCACCATCAGATGGCAAATTGTTGACATTCATTCTCTTTCTTCAACTTAAAATACTTTTATCTTCTCACAAAAGCCAAGGGCATTTGCACCTCTCTGAGTTTAAAGAAAAACTTTTCTGAAGTGATCTGGTCTACAGTATAATGGTCGGAGGCCCTTTAGCCAAGGGAGAAAAAGAATTGTTTATGCTGAGTGAACTTTGAAGGATGTTTCAGTTCTTGGGCTACTACCAAATTAGGGCACCAGTTAAGACTTCATGTCTGTCTCACTACATAAATTTTCTGAATGGTAGCTGGGCATCATGATACATGGCCAGTCTCTATTTTTGTGGCAATAATTTTAAAAATTCCATTACTTAAACATCCCACTCTTTTATTGTGATCATAGATTACATATTTAGAGAGTGATTGTGAAGCTCTGGCTCCCAGGAAGTCAGCAGG